CCGGGGGCGGGCATCCATCCGGCCAGATTACCTGCAGGCCCCCAGGTCTGCTCCTGGTTTAGGGATCGGAGTGGCGCAGACTCTGCCCTTGGAGGCCCCCGCTCCACCTTTCCTGCTCCCCCAGGGTCCCCCCACCTTCCTTTCTTCCTTCTCTGGGCAGCCACTCTGCAGCACCCCTGCACCCCAGGGCTTCCTGCTGAGGAATTTAATCCCTGGCCTTCGGGGGGAGGGGTGGGCTGTGCCTCACTGGAGAGAAGCGAATGGGGTGCGGTCTGGGCTCCCAGGTGTCCGGACGGACTCCTTGAGCCCTGGGTGGCTTTCTCTGGAGAGAGGAGCCAGCAGGGAACAGGGTCTCCCCTTCCATAATGCAGCCCCGGAGGAGGTGGGAAGCCCTGAGACCGGGAGTCTTCCCTCAGAGGGCACGCAGATGGGCTGGCGGGGCTGAGCAGAGAAGGGCCCCACCCTGGAGTGCAGTGCGGGCTCGTGGGCAGCATCCTGTGTGTCTGTCCAAGAACACAGGTTGCCTATGGCCTGAGGCTCCTGGGTACTGTCAGGGTCAGTGCTGAACCTCCACACCGGTCTCCAGGCACAGCTCCCTCCCTCTGTGCCATAACTGGGTTCCCCGCAGCCACAGGAAGCAGGCTCTCCCAGAGCAGAATCCTTGCTCCCCTCGCTCCATCGCCCTGCTCCAGCTCCCCGCCCTACCCCATCTTCTTTGTCTGCTGGTCACTGTGATACAGCCCTCTCCTCAGTGGTCACCATCTGCCCGGGAGACAGCCTTTATTGCATCCCACGCGGGACCCGTTGACTGGCTTTGTGATGAGATGTAGGATGCTAGGAGCCAACTTTTGGGGTCTGAAAAAGGCTTCCCTGAGGAAGTTACATTTACCTTCTGGAGGCAAGGGGAAACTGAGGCTGAGAATGCGGCGGAACACACCCCAACGAGGGGCAGCAGGAAGACAAGGGTCTTCAGGTGGGGTGGGGATGGGGCAGAGTGGCCTGGTGTGAGGCAGCATGGATGGCCACACGACCCGTCTGTACCCGAGCTGCTTGCCTGTCTCTCTCCACAGTGAGCAGCCACGCGGAGACCCGGGCCCATGCTGAGGAACGGCTCCTGAAGACCCTCTTCTCCGGCTACAACAAATGGTCCCGGCCAGTGGCCAACATCTCAGACGTGGTTCTCGTCCGCTTTGGCCTGTCCATTGCCCAGCTCATTGATGTGGTAGGTGTGAGCACAGCACCTGAGTAACCCTGCAGGAAAAGGCCCAGTAGGAGAGCAGCTGGGATGGGCAGAGGATGCCTTGAACCATTTGTGCCTACGTGTCTGGCCATGACAGAGTGGCCAGAATGAGCCCAGCAGGTGCACCTTCCTGACAGCCCGCTTCTAGCCCTGCCTTTCCTGCTCCATAGAGGAAAACGTGTGACCAGGCTTTTGGCACTGGCACTTTCAGGAGTAAAGAATGGGAAACACCTCCAATGGGCAGGGACGGGGGCAGTGCCATGGTCTTGCACAGCTGGGCTGCAGGGGCTTTTCTTGTGGCACTGGGTGGGCTGGGCAGGCATTGCTGTGCCCTAGCAATACCCTTAACCTGGGGCTGGTCTCAGAGGCTCCTGAGCATTCGCTGTTCTGGGCGTGGGGTCTGCACGCATCTCAGGCCGTTTGCCTAGGATATGTGTACCTTCCTGGTGAAGGTCTTAGAAGGCTGCTGAAGTACAGCCAGGGGCCCCTGCAGCAGGAGCTGGAGCCTAAAGAGCCCCTGGTCAGGGGAGCAATCGGAGACCGCGTCACAGCCCCTAGAAGCCTGCTGCAGGAGGCCCAGGACCTTGTGCATGGCAGGGATGCTCAGATATGCACCCAGCATTTCCTGGCTGGGCTCAACTGCTCTGTTGGGAGTGGGACCAACCTTTGGGGCCGCTGGCTGGGTGCCATTGCACAACCTGGGGGCCTACTGCAAGTTCCAACAACACCTGATTCCCTGCCTGTCACACTAGGCCTTAGAGTGTGGGCTCTGGCAGCTCTGGAGGGAAGGAGACAGTGTCTGGTTAGAATGGCTTGAGTTTCTTATGGGGATCCAGCCGGCTCCAGCCCACCGCGAAGGCCAGCTTGCTGGGTCCAGGGACAGAGCCTGAGTCTGGGCTGGGGTAGCCAGCCACTGCAGGGGATGCAGCACCCCACCATAGTCTGCTGGTATGAGGAGGGCTCCAGTGTGTGGGAACTTCCTGTTCTGGGCGACCTCTGCTGCCCCAGTACTCCTGACATACGTGGGCTGAAAGACAGTGTGAGTCTCCAGCCTGCATGTGGCTGTGTGCGGACCCCAGCTGGGAGCCCTGTTTGGAGCTCAGACCCCTGCCCCATGGTGTCCTGGAACTGGCCCTTGAGTGTTCCTACCATGCGCCTAGCTGGGGCCTGGCCAGAAGACAATGCAAGATATTCTTACTCTGTCAACCCTGCTGAGGTTTGCAAACATGGCTGCAATGAGGTGGCTGGCTGAGGTTACCATGGGCCGCTGCTCAGGCTCCAGGGCTGCTGCCACTGCTTGGCTTCCCAGCTGCACCCATCAGGGCTCCCCGCTGCTCCTTCTTGGCCACAGGGTGCCAGGTTTGCCAGGAGACATCAAGGCTAGGAGCACAGCCAAGACTCCTGTGAGTGTTACTGAGGGCCCTGGAGCTGATCGAAGTCGCTTGTGAGCACTCGGGCTGTGTGCTGACATGGCAGGCCCTGGCTGGACCTCTGGCTGAGTCTGTGGGTGGAAGAGGCCTCCCTGCATCTGGCCCACCCTGCCCATGCCAGCCCCGGTGCCCAGCTGCCTGTGCCTCTTGCAGCAAACTCCTGGGTCTCTGCTGGGAGGGACACCTGGGTGACACACGCAGGAGTTCACACCCTGGTGCCAGTTGCAGAGGAGGCCGTGGACTCCCCGGTGGCTTCCTGACCTGATACTGAGTTGCGCTGATGCATCTGCTGGCTCCAAGGACACATGGGGGTGACAGCTGGCCGCAGGGTCTGGAGAGATGCCTCATAGGGGGGCCTCACACAGCCACCAGGAAGCTTTCTGAGGACCTGGAAGCCCCGGAGGGGTGGGAGAAGCTGTCCCCACACTTACCTTCCTGACATGGCACTGGGTCCCTCGGGGAGGCAGCTGTGCAGGGACCTTGTCATGTGAGCTTGGACGGGCCGCACAGGGTGCAGCTGAGCTGACGCCAGGCCCCAGACTATGTGCTCTGCTCCAGATCCTGCTCCTCAGAGTCCTGTTGGCGAAGGGCCGGCCCCAGTGACCCTCCCCAAATCTGGGAGGGAGCAGCGTGGGGCTCTCAAGGTGTCTGGGAAGGAGTTCAACCAGCAGCACGTGGGAGGCCATTGAGTTGGCTGAACCTTGTCCCCAGTTTCCTTCTGGAAAAGTTATGGGGCTCTTGTCCCTCGTCCCCAATCCTTTCGGGCCACCATCCTGGGCCTGGGTGCCTCCAGGGCCAAGGTCACTCTCTCTGGGTCCAGCACCGGCCGTTTTGCCGTTTTGCCGTGGAGAGGGTCTCAGGATGATGTATCGTCAAGAGGAGATCTCAAGCTGCCTTCTCTCTTGTGTCCTAGGACGAGAAGAACCAGATGATGACGACGAATGTGTGGGTGAAGCAGGTGAGTGGGGGCCCACCCTACCCCCACCCTCTCCCCCTGCTCTCTCGCCCCACGGCTGTCTGTCCTCCCCAGGAGTGGCATGACTACAAGCTGCGCTGGGACCCCAGTGACTATGAGAATGTCACCTCTATCCGCATTCCCTCTGAGTTCATCTGGCGGCCCGACATCGTCCTGTATAACAAGTGAGCCCCGGGGCCCAGTGGGCTAGGGTTGGGCTGGGCCCAGCAGGGAGAAGTCCGGTGTCTGGGGTGGTGACCCCAGGGCAGCAAGGAGTCTGAGGATGTCAGGGACGGAGGTCTGGAGTGTAGGAGCCAGAGGGCCCTGGGTCCCTGTCTGCCTACACCAGCCCTGGACAGGGGCGTCCTCTTGGTTCCTTTGAGTCTCCCTGCTGTGGGCAGGAAGTGGTGTCACAGAGCCCGGGGCTGCTTCCTTCAGCCCCTACCCAACTCCACCTTCTGGAGAAAGCATGAAGCTCTGGGTGCCCCACAGATGTACACCACACCAGTCAGCAATCCCAGTGCACCGTGCTCTCACGTGAACCAGCCTGTCATCAACTCCCCAGAAGTGGTGCTGAGATCTGCCCCATAGGTGGTTTGTTGGACCTGGGAACCAGGGTGAAACTTCCAGGGTTGGCCTGGAAGGTGTGGCCATTTCGGCTTGTCCTTCTGTGGATCCTCACCAGGGGTCTGGGCGACTGGGCCTCAAGGTGCAGTGGCCAGCTCTTTCTAAGCTGCATCCACCCAAGGACAGCTCTCCAGCTCTCCGGCTCAGGGCCTGAGGGCAGCAGCTCTCATAGCACTTACCGATGAAGAAAATGCAAGCCCCTTGTCCTCCTGGTCCTAACCATCTACCCATAGCCCGTTCTGGGCCCCAGGGTGTCTATCTGACCTACAAACGTCCTTATTTGATTAAGAATGATTGGGCTCCACTTCCTCTTGAGTCCGGTGACTGCTGCAGCCTTGGTGTGGGAAAGGCTGGGGATGACGCTCCGGGTGCATTAAGGGAAGGCAGTTCATGGTGAGTAGAAGGCCACTGCTCTCCCCGTGGGATGGGCTTTCTGCCCTTGGCAGCTGCGCAGCATGAACCACAGCCCTAGACATCTTTACAGCCACCCAGCCCACTCCTCCTGGGATGGAGAACAGAGTTTTCCCAGGGCAGGATGGACTGGCCCTGGGCGGGAGCAGGCAAGGAAGAGGAGCAGATCTGGGAACCGTAACTATGGATGGAGTCCCCAGGACCAGAGCTAAGGGCCAGAGCTTATGGAGAGGGGATGGGGTCAGCACTTAGGGCCAGGCAGCTGCTAGCCAGGGCTAAAACCCATTTCTGGGTAGAGGAGGCCCCCATTCTGGTGTCTGTTTCGGGAACCCCTTGACTGAGGCCCATGGTGTACTGGGGTTTCCCTTAGATCAGACCCCAGAGGCCGGAGCCCCAAGGTCACTGACCTGGCGTTGGTGGGTGGCGATCTCGCTCAGCCTCAAGCTCAGAGAGAGCCAGGCCTCTCCGATGGAGCAGGACCAGGGCAGGCCCAGCTCACAGGCCAGTCAAGCAGTTTGACACAAAGCTCATGCCCTCGGGCTTCTGGGGCTCTGAGGTGCTGGTGGGCTATCCCGAGGGGCTGCCTGAGGGCTCCCATGGAGGTGGGTAGTCTGAGGGTGGGGTCCTCCCTTAGCCCCTAGGGACTGTGCCCAGGCATCTGTGGGAGAACAGAGAAGCGGGAACGGCTGCACCTGGCATGGGTGCTGTGCAGCCCCCTCAGGCCCTCTACACAACTGTGGGGCCCCAGAGGGTGCGACTGGAAAGCTGCAGTGTCCACAGCGGGAGGGTGGAAGCTGGACACCCTCCGTCCTTGGAGACACAGGGAAGTCCTAGGTGCAGCCCTGGCTCCCGAGGGGGCTGCCCTGTGCAGAAGGCCAGGGCCGGAGGGATGGGGCGGGCAGGGTGCGCAACCCGTGGGCAGCTGAGGTGGCACGGCCGCGGG